TGCATGATTTGAACACTGTATGTTCATATGTATATTAAATGGTTCATTTGTATAATTATCACTTATGAATGCATGATTTGAACACTGTAGTTCATATGTATATTAAATGGTTCATTTGCATAATTATCACTTATGAATTCATGATTTGAACACTGTAGTTCATATGTATATTAAATGGTTCATTTGTATAATTATCACTTATGAATGCATGATTTGAACACTGTAGTTCATATGCATATTAAATGGTTCATTTGCATAATTATCCCTTATGAATATGATTTGAACACTGCAGTTTATATGCATATTTAGAGGTTGATTTGCGTAATATTGATAATAACTGGCTTAGTAAAATTGATAGTCTAATGAAATAAATGGTCTGGGGGCAATTTTACACTTATATTTTATTGGAATGTGTCTCAAAATGTTTGTTTTTAAAATTACTTCTGTGTATTTATGTGCTATTTAAGATATTTTGTGTATGAGCATTTTATACTCTTTTCTGTCATATTCATTGATATCAATCTTAGTTTGGAACCAAATTAACAAAATCTTACATGTCATCTTGGTTTAGATTAATCTTTGTGGATAATGAAAAAAAAGGATGTGGGGTCAACTTGACAGCAATCTTCAGTGATGAATTTCCAGAAATTAACCATGTGATACGGGTACTTGATATCTGGGATTAAGGTCTTTATTGATGATGACTAGAAAGTTTTTTTTTCAGATTCATTAATGATACATTTTTGTTTTTCATTATATAACAACTACATGTGAACATATACTGGTACTAGTCTATTCTTAGAAAAGTTTGACAGAATAATCAACTTTGTTAGAAAACGTAATCCTACTGATAATTAAAAGAATTCCTTTTTCAAACCTATTTAACCCAAAGGGTGTGAAGAACTACAGTGTTCCTATTGGGCTAGATGACCACATCACGGTTGACCTTGTCATTATTGGCTCAGTGGCTGTGTCCCCACAAGGTTAGTATTATGTAATTGCATTGATTTATTTTTGAGAACAGGTCAAGTCAACAGGTCAGTATAAACAGATTAATTGATATGAAATATTGTATAGACAATATACCGGTACATTACATTACATGCCGTGTACCATATCCATCCACAATATTTTTGTCAGATTTTCAGTCTCAACACTATCCAAGTTCCTGTTACTAAGTGTGTCTCTGTTGCTCAGTGCATCTCCGTTGCTAAGTGTGTCCCTGTTGCTAAGTGTGTCTAGTGCTATAAGTGTGTCTGTTGCTAAGTGTGTCCCTGCTTGTGTTGAAAGTTACATTTGACAAATTTATTTCTGAATTGATGAATGTACTCGAAAATTTCAAATGCTGAAGTTGAAATAACATAGAGGGTCATGAATGCAACTTTATCAGTCACTATCTGACATCCGAAAAAAATATACAAACAAAATATACTGGTGAGTCTCTGCTTTTGTTTGTTTCATTTGCATATCTGTATGTCTGACACAACTTTCTGTTATTGAGTAGTTTATGTTCTTCAAAATACGAGGTCTCTAACAAAAAATAATGTATTAACACCAAATTTGCACAGCTTTGAGGTGACATTTAGAGAAACTTAAATCCAGGGAATCTATAAATTTCGGTGATTATTTTTCAACGAGTGATAGTTTTGGTGGGGCAATGCAATTTTGGAATTCAGCATGTTACATTATAAAAACTCTGTGCATTAATTCAACTGCTGCCTGCTGCATTTCAGCTCCATTCAATTTAACAGACTACTGAACTAATAGGAAACATAAAACATGAGCTTTCTGGGCACAAGCATAATTCTGTAACTTATTTATTTTCTGAAAATCACATATAAAAACTGTGCATGGCGTATTCTGAATCACCTATTACCCAGTACCTATTTTGATCATAGAAACCCATCTTTAATTTACATATCAAAGGGCATGTGCTATTCATAGAGCAAATAATGGGATGGAAGAAATATTCCTGTTTGGGATGAGAATGTCTATTCCTTATGTTTTTTTAGAACTGAAACTTAAGAATTATTATGTGATCTGCGATGACCAAAACAATTAAGTTCAGGATTTTAAACTAATTAATTAGCCATCCATGTGTTTTTGTAATGATAGGTTATCGCATTGGCAAAGGTGAAGGATATGCCGACATGGAGTTTGCTATGATGACAACAATGGGAGCTGTCACTAAAGATACCGTTGTCATAACAACAGTACATGACTGCCAAGTGATGGAGATACCGGCTGAGCTGTTTGGAACTCATGACCTGAAAGTTGATTACATTTTGACCCCAACGAAAACCTTAAAATGCCATGGTGATTTACCCAAACCTACTGGAATAAATTGGTCTATATTAACAAAACAAAAACTGACAGAAATACCAATCCTGAAAAACTTGAGATACAGAGAGCAGAAAGCAGGAAAAGATGTCTCTCTAAAGGATGAATTAGAATGAAGAATCTTAGTGTTTTTCTATTCTGACAATAAAGTGACTACTTGTGAGCAATTCATTTTTCCCTGCATTTTCAAACATTTACAAGAACAAAAATTTAGCTAAAATCACTGTACTCCTTTGTCTTAAAGTGTGGGAGTTGTCACCTGCAACAAGCTGCCATAGAATGTTAACAAACAAGGGTCTACCCATGAGCCTTTGCATTATTAGCATGTGTTGTTATTGTCGCTTAGGACTCAATTCCCACGGGTACATAGGTGACAACCCCTCCACTTTAAGGTAGAAGTCTACTCATGATTTCAAATACCTATTATTTATAAATTTTTTAATAAAAATTTGTTGAGCAAATGGTTGTATTTTAGTTGATAGTGGCCATTTTGGTAGTATTATTAGCGCTTTTACCTTAGGTTCCTATGGCAGAGATATTATGCCATATCTCATGGTATCGTATGGGGTACTTTTTGTTTTCCTGAATTTTTCCACAAATCTGGGTTTTAAAAAGTGTAGAAAAATGCAATTTTTGTTTAACATTGCGCTCTATGGAATTGTTCTAAAAATAGCTATTTTTGAAAAATACGTCACTGTAACACCCAAATAAATGCTATTTTATGGTGCCATGTGCCAATAGCTCCACGATTTTTCATAATAAACCAATGGACATTGTATGTGATTTATGACCAACTTTCTCAAAAATGAGTATGGTAGGCTTCTACCTTAAGGAGCCCAGTGAAATCACCTCTGCTACAATATACTGTAAAATACTTTATTTTAGCTGGAATTAATTTTCGTTGAAAAGACATTTTTGATGTTTTGTATGGAATTTATTTTCACTGAATTTTGATTAGTTGAATGTAAAATATAGGGAAAAAGATGTATTCACTGGATTTTATTTTTCATGAATCATTCCTTCAATGAAAATTAATTCCAAGCGAAAATAAAGTATTTTACAGTACATTTTGTATTGTGATTTTTCACGCCGGTGAAATTCATTATCTTATTTATTGCAGCACAATACATCTAGCTAAAAAAAAAATAAAAAAAAAATTTCTGGTGTTTTTTCGCCAAATAATTAAAAAAAATAAGTCAGAAGACAAAAAAACATTATTGGTTTAAGATTTCAGATTAACATGGAGCAATTTTTTACGTTTATTTATTTCAGTTATAATTGATGAAGTAACAAATATAAAAATAAAATATGTAAATTAATCAATTTGCATATATTTAAATATCACCTACCTAAGATATTTGAAAAAGTTGGCAGTTGAAACATTTTGCTCTTGTCAAAGTCTGTATATTTTTAATTTATTTTAATTTCCTATTGAAATAATTTTAATTTAATGCAATATAATGTCAACATGGTAGTATCTCATTACATACGACGTCACGTCTTTCACTCAATTTCTAACATCATTATAACCATTGCTGACAAATCACATTGACATATCATATATCCAGCAATAATATTTGCTATGTTAATGATGGAGTGATTTGAACTACTGGGAGGGACGGTGGTTCAATAAATGACTCGCATGTTCCAAACGTGTTTGTGAGTAAACTGAATACAGTCGAACTCGAACTCTGCCTGTCATTATCGCCGAAGTGTGAAGTGGTCAATGACAGAAGTTTACAACAAAAAAAAGAAATTATATGCCACACAACAACATTACTGTTTTTTGACATGTTGATTTCAATAATTTTCGTGACTGTTGTCAGTCGATTTCATTGACGCAAGTTTACAAAAAGACACAAACATTGCATCGGCTCTGCTATGTAAAAACAACACGGTTACCCGTACATCGTTCAGTATTTTATTTTTTACCATGATATGACTGAAATCAACAACGCTCGCAGACTAACATAATAACTTTATTACACTGCCGAACTATCAGCGGGTTCAGTATGGTAAATAAAAAGTATTACAAGACTAGGACAATTCAAAATACAATACATTAATAGAAAATACAACTGGCCAAGTTCTTCTGCCGGCCGAGTTCAAATCTGGAAATACTGCCCTCTTTGTCAGAATGAGCAGTAAGCTAGAGGGTTTTGTTAATTATTAACAAAATGGCGGCCCCCAGAGTAAGACCAAGAGATCGCCGACCATCGTTAGCCGGAATCGGGACGTTTATCATTTCTCGCTATCCATACATCTTTGCTTTTGTGCTATTGATGTTGTTTGCAGAAAGAGCAGAACAACAAAGGTATATATAATCTATAAATTTCAGGTACCGGTTAAGTCGCACTTAAATACACTTGCCCGAAACCAACTCGATTTCATTTGAATTTTCATTCAAAAATACCGGCTTCGGAGAATTCGATTTTGATCTGTGGGGCATTTCCGTACATTTTCCGGACTAAACGTAACCACACTCCCATTGTTTCCCCCTTAATCGGCGGTCTATTTCTTACATGTACATTGTACTTGGTGGACCTCATTTCTTGATGATATCTTCAAATTCTCTATTTTTGCCGAATAGTTTTGTATTTTTTTGTAAAAAATGCTACGGAAAATGCTGTTTTCATGTTCTGGACCCCTGTCAGATTTGTTCATTTCAAGACGATATCTTTCATTCTCTATTTTTTGTTGTTTTTAATACAAAATGCTATTTTCGACGTATTAAAAACTACCAACTGAATTGCTTCGATACTTGGTATGTATGTAAGTTTTGGATTTGTTTATTTCATGACAATATATTCTATTCTCTATTTTGGACGAATATTTTTAGCTCCATGACTTTTTCGAGCAAAGCTTATCATATGAGTCATTGTGTGTCACCCAGTTTTTGAGTTCTTGAAAACTATAACCATGGGTTTATAGTTCCATGATCTACCTTAGGTAGACCTCTCTAAGATTGTTCATTTTTAGATGATATTTTTGTCATTTTTTGTAAAAAGTTATAATTTTGATTTCTTGCTTTGATGGACCTCTCTCAGATTTGTTCATTTGTGATGATGTCTTCAATTCTCTATTTTGAAATGTACATTGCTAACAGCAGAGCTATCTCATGTGGTGTTTGTCAGAGGATAATATAATCTTGGTCCTTGGCATTATTATTCAAAATTACCAAAGAATTCCACTTTCATGATTGTAATTACTTTTTCATAGGTGTTGTAAGTTCTGTGATGCTATTTTTCAGATCTGAAGGCTATGCACGTGGTTATATTTACAGTAATATTGCAGCATTGTTTGTGCTTGGAACTCTGATTATTTTTGATTGGCAGAAACATACAGCGTATCTGTTGTGTGCCGTGCAAGTCGCAATCCATGCATTTTATACTCATACAAGTCCCTATTTACACTTTGGTGAATGGCTAACGGTGAGTTTTAGAGATGCATTTATTTCAAGGAACGTCATGCACAAGTTGCAACAGCTTGAGTGAAGGGTTGGTTTCTTGGCTACAAAATGGGTGGGTGGGGCTGAAACCATAAATTCATTTTGTTGGTTTTAGGTACCTATGTCTAGATTTCAAACGATAGAAATGGGCAAGTATATTTAAATTCTGTGCATGAACCATTGCTTCACTTGTGGATGTATTAATATTTTTCTTGTCAAACATTTTCTGGTGCATTTTTGGTTTGATTTCCTGGCTGTTTTCCTCAAAACTTATACTTCCACATTATAAATTCCTCTGAAAAAAAAACCAACCCAATAATGGACAACGTAATATGAAAATCTAAACCCATTAAAACCATTAATTCAAAGTTGGTCATTTTTGCTGATGTCCACAAAGAAATCAATTTTCTCTACGCTTAATTGAATGTGATTTTAAATAAAAAAAATCGGGAAGTGGTCTTTACGGTGTATATCACATGCAATTCACAATTTACTGAAACCAAATTGTTTTCTTCATAGATACGTATCGTAACCAGAAACTTTGCAGTTATTGGTGGCTACCTGATGCTTGCCAGCAGAGAGCTGGAAAACATTCCACGGCGTTTTAAAAAGCCTCTGCTCTTTACCACTGGTAGATACGTGTACGGTTTCTTCCTGCTCTGTTACTCATACACGTTGTTCCGCAGCAAGGAAGACAACCGAGCTTTCCACAAACTTGTACCTCTTGGTAATCTTTTCTCATTTGTAATGGTCGCACTCACGGCCGTTGGAGCGGGCAGCTTTTTTTCTGGAATACGACTTCGAACTGCAGCACGTGTTCTACTTGTGGTGCTTATTGTGACTACTTTGTACTTCGAAGGGAACATAAACTATTGGTGGAGACAGCGATTTGTTGAATACTGGATGCATATTCTAATTCTATCAGAATCCATTGTCGCGATCGCTGTTTTAATGTTACTCTGCTATCACTGACCATTTTTTATGTTTATAAACATAAACAAGTTCATCAATTTATTATTATGTATATATTAATTGCAATATTTATGATATTCTCTGAAATTACTGTGACAGTGAATTTGTTTCGTACATCTATTCAGCAGTATTGCTTTCACGAAGCAGATAAGTCATTATTAGATTTATTGCCGACTTGGTACAAAACAAATGGTGCCCGCCGAAACTTTCATTCACTGCCGTTGTTTGATTACTTTCTTGATTTTTTTTTATCATCAAAATTAATGTATTTCTTTCAGAAAAATGTGTAATTACGGTTTTGTAGCTGTGCTACATACAGGGTATGAACGACAAATATTAACACATTGTCAACCACACAAATTTTTAGTTCTTGTTGAACTAAATTGATTTTGTTCAAAGTTGGTACAAAGACAAGTTGTAATTGCATACCTGTACCTGACTGGTGACCATTTTTTTGAATGGTGCGGCACATGCTAAAAAAAACCTCAATCTTGAACCTGAGAATTGCTGCCTTAATGTTACCGGGGTAAAAATTTTATTTTTAACTTTTTGAAAATGGTTAGCCTGATTGCTTGGATGAAACTTATCACATTTGTTAATTTCATGACAATATTAATTCTTTCTCTATGCAGTTGCACCTTGACAGGGACTGTCAATCACTTGTATTCCATATAGTATATGGTCGACAATGTGTTTGGTAAAACAGAACTTTATATTAAGGGCACCCCCCACAGTCCTTTGCTTTCACCGGCATCTTTTATCTCCAGATTATTTGCACTTAGATTTAAAAAAGATTGACCAAGACATTACTTTCAGTATGTGTTGTAAGCAATCCTTGAACAGTAAACCAGAATCATGAAAGAAAAAAATTGATTCACTTTCAATCATTGTATATTAAGAATCTGCAATAAATGCACAAACTTATGAATATTAATAGATCTTGCTCATTTTTCCTGCTATATATTCAGTAGATACAAAGTCATTACTTGCCACATTCAAGGTGTGGAACATCCAAAAGTTAATTTTATGCAAAAATGGAATGCATGTACTTGTACACCAACTGTATATAAATAAGATTGATATATGGGGATATGTACAAGGATACAACACTGAGAATTCATTGTTTTATTTTTAGTGGGTATCGTATAAACATTCACGACTGACACTCACAAGTAAATAAATGCAATACTCTTGTTTTTATCGGGTTATATATTCTCTTCCTACATTACAACAATAAAATGCAAGTTTAGCTTGATGAAGCAGTGTACAGTAGAAGTGACATCACTGAGCGTGACCTCCAAATACCATTTGGTGTGGACCAAAACATCTTGCATTAAGAATAGAAGTCTATATAAAGCAACACTGGGAACTTTTGAACAAGTTCATATATGGCATTTATCTACATTAAGATCATGTCATTACCATATAAGGCAAAACTGCAGAATGTTGGCGGCAATCCAGAAAATATCATTAACATATTCAAAAATGAATGGTTGTTTTCTGCGAGATATTGCTTGAAAAGCTCGGACCAAAAATAGAATGACTTGATTTTACATTTTTATTTCAAATACTTCATGAAATATGACCATCATAAAATTCTTATAGCACATTACTTGAAATCACGTTTGTCAATTCCAACACAAATTTGATGTCACAGTAAAAGAAAAATGGTTTATTGAGAAGATTGTCACAATCCTTATGCAGATAAAAACACACCTCATTACATTCAAGGCAATATTGGGGATTGGGTTGCGACTGAATTAATTCTCGTAATCTTGTCTACTGTGCGAATAGATCACTCATGCTTGAACTTCATGAGAGGAAGTTATCAATAAATCTGTTTTGATTAAAGCGAGAGGGTCGTCACCTGCACACGCGAGAATGGAGTCCCAAGTGATAACAACACACGCTAAAACGGCAACGACTCATGGGTAGATGCTTGTTTGTAAACAACGACACGCTATGACTGTGTCGCATGCGCAGGTGACGATTCCCCCGCTTTAAAGGGTGGTGGCGTGTCAAATCCTTATGTGATGTATGCTACACATATGAAATACCTTGTTTTCAGAAAATTTGAAATACTGTGATAAAGTTGTGATATTCAAGATAATGTTGCGCAATTTGTCAAAACATGAAAGTATGAATTCTGAGTAATTCCCTGTATACCTTTAATAAAGTTTATCATCAAAATACTGTCGTTATGACAATATTCGCTGACTTATTAAACCATACACATATAATAAATGAATTATAAAGCAAACAGTTAAAATTCTAAAAGTGCTACCATACTTTTGCAAAAAAATGTACAATTTTGTTCCCATGCTATCGCAGATGTCATTCATCTAAATACTTAATAAGTTATCATGTTCTAGCGAACTGTGGTCTTATAATTTAAACAAACGTGTAAATACTACATATGCAAAGTATACAATACAAAACACAGTCTGGGCAGCAAGGGGCACACACCGCTTTCTCCCAAATCTAATTTTTAAAAAGGTTGTCTCTGGAAAAAATATTCAATAGAATGTACACTATATGTATTGGTACTTTGTGGATGAATGAAAGAAACATCAACCGATGTAGAGATGAATTCAGATTGTTGATAACATAATAGGGTGAGTGGTAAACTGAGCCATTCCGCGAGTTGATTCATCTCTTAGAGCTTGCCAAATTCCATTCACAGATTAGTTATTTATCCAGTCGTCTTCTTTTACTGGTGCTAACATAGGAGTGATCATCGTGTGTTTGAGTGGAGGAGCTTGTACCAATTCTTTTTTGCATCTCTAGATCTACTGGACTAACTCTCTCGTAGTCATAGCTGGGCAAGAATTTCTCCACCAGTTCAGCAAAATGTTCCTCTAATGATTCCTGGCATTGTAGTACCTCAGACCCAGTCTAAAAATAAAGAAAGATTTTATATATGAGAAGTTTAAATACATTTCTTAATACAACCTTTTGAAAGCCAAAGTTTTAATAAATGTTTCTATACTTTTTCATTGGCTACAGATCTTTGTAACAAGCCTTTTGAATAATTTTTTTCTATAATTTTAGCTACATATTGTGATTATATTTTTTGGAAAACAAGCAGCCTCTCAGCTGAGATAGCTCCGTTGTTAGCAATGCACATTACAATTAAAGAACTAAAGATATCATTGGAAAAACAAATCTGAGAGAGGTCTACCTGAGGTACCTATATCTATAATATCAAAGCAATGAGATTTGTGGTTTTCAACAAGAAGTCGAAAATATCACGTTTTACCAAAAATTACAAAAATATTCATCAAAATTAGAGAATTTAAGATATCATCAAGAAATTAACAAATCTAAGAGAGGTCTGCCCAAGGTACATATATAACAAGTATCAAAGCAATAAGAATTGTAGTTTTCATGAAGAAGTCGAAAAAGTTAACATGAACGACGGACAAACACTCGCATGTTAAGCGGAGCTAATATAAATATGAATACCTTGTTGTAAATTTCTGCATTATTGAATACCAGCTTAATATCTTCCATAAATGCATCCACTGATTTATATTCAATACAGAGACATTTATTCTTCATAGTTTGGAAATCCATAGGATCCGATATAATGTCGTAGTAGTCTGGTGCCTGTGAGGAGGAGACAACATTTTATTGTCAGCAAAACTTTCATTTTTAGAGTAACTTAGCCAAAAATTAAATTTGAATGAGCTTTATTGATCAAAATATCATGCATTATACAGTTTATTATTTATTTATCTTCACTAAAATAAATCATGTTCGAATTCTGCTTTGGGAGCAGGCTTAAATTCAACTAACTGAGGCAGTAATGTTCACTGTGGTAACACAAAAGCTGTTATATAAATTTAAAAGAGAGGGACCTAATGTCTATTCAGGAAGCAACTCACGTAAGTGTATGAATCAGAGAATTCTGGGTAATTTGTAATGCAGGGCATGGAGGGACAAATTGCATCATTGATTACATTTACAATTCATAGATGCCGAATATTTAGCATGTAAAATTATTGCAAACAGACATGACTTGGGGTAATCTTTTACAGATGTATTTTGACAACCACTTTAATAATCAAGTATTTCTTTTGAAAATGAAAACCCTAAGCCTACATGTGAAGTTTTAAAATTACAAATAATGCATTAAATTATGAAATAACATGTCGTTGGACTGTGTCTCAAAAAGTATTGAACTTATTATTAATTTCAATCAAAGAAAATTTATATGTCATACAAAGAGCATTAAACTTACCTCTACTTTCTCCACTGGTTTTCTGAACGGCCAACTGTCCTTGTGACGCGTCAACTTATTCAATATATCTTCACACGCCTGTAATAGAAAAATAAGTGTCATAAATTACTTGAAGAGATTAGTGCAATGATAACATAAATAGTGGTGTGCACAATCCTCTTAATTATCACATTCAGTCATTGTAACCTTCCACAAAATAGTCCCATTAAAAATATGTCAATATACATAATAAAACATTGATGATAATCACTAGTCTCCAATCAGTCGCATGCACGTTTACATTGACTTGACCACATGAAGAATAAAGCTGCATCCTATCCTGTTTCTTTGGTTCAAAATGCATATCATATTTAGAAAGAAATACCAAAAATTTACAAACATTACAAAGTAGCTGACTGTGAAAAAATCACAGGGTAATGGAGAATGCCCTTATACAGTTTACAGTAGAAGATAAAAGCAGGGACAAACAAGCAGCCTATCGGCTGAGATAGCTCCGCTGTTAGCAATGCACATTTCAATTAAAGAACTGAAGACCAAAGGAACAATATGAATAGTATCAAAGCAATCGGACTTGCAGTTTTTATCAAGAAGTCGAAAATATCACTTTTTACCAAAAATGACAAAAATATTCACCAAAATTAGAGAATTGAAGATATCATCACGAAATGAACAAATCTGAGAGAGGTCCACATGTAGTACCTATATATGTAATTGCAAAGCAATTGCGGTTTTTAACAAGAAGTCGAAAATATCACTTTTTACCAAAAATGACAAAAATATTCACCAAAAATAGAGAATTGAAGATATCAACATGAAATGGAACAAACCTAAGAGAGGTCTACCCAAGGTACATGTACACCAAGTATCAAAGCATTCAGGCTTGTAGTTTTCAAGAAGAAGTCGAAAAAGTAAAACATTGACACGGACGACGACGATGACAACGGACAATCACTCATATGATAAGCACCGCTCGACAAAGTCGACAGCGAAGCTAAAAAAGGGGAAGAACTCATGCTAAATAACGTTCCTGGAATTTTTCTAGCTTTATTTGCCAAGCACACACGCGCAGACCCTAAACAGATGACGTCCCAATGAAATGAACAACAGAGTGCAACCAGAGATAACATGGAAAACCAGAAGTGAGGGGTGAAAAGTGAATTCGGAAGCAGACTAACCATCAAAAAACAATTCAATTCATTGGCGTTTACCTTGAGGTCATTTTGGGACCTTTGGGACCTACTGCTTGATCGAAAAGTCTGATCATCCGGACTTGTATCAGCTCGTCGCTTCCTTGAGACACTGTCACTGGCAGTGGTTTTAGTAGTACTGGCAGATGATGCAGCTTTCCTTGATGGCTTTGCCTTGGTTTGTTTTCCGGATGACTTCTTTTTTAACGCTTTTCTCCTTCTTGACGTGCTTCTAGATGATCTACAATTTGTGCATGCAGAGCACACCCATTTTCCTCTGAAAATGACAAGTAGAGATGGAAACATAAAACATATTGCTCCACTTGAGAAACAGGAAGTTGAACAAGAACAGTGATCAATGAGAGATTCAAAAATATATATATACGTCTTAACAGACCTAGGAAAGTTTCTGAGAGGAGGATCATGACACTCTCTGTGATAGGCTGCCGGACATCGTGAACAGTACACCAATTCCTGATCGTCATCACACATACAACACATCTCATCATGTTCAGCTTCCGATTCATCACTGTCTGTTTCATCATATTCCTGTAAATTGGCAACAAATATTTACACGATTCATCATGTATGATTCCATTTCACTCTGGTCCGTGGGAAACTCCTTCAAAAATAATACACTGTAGAAGACTACAGTTTGGCTAATGTCATGTAAATCAATCCGACAGAAGGCATTGACATGACAAAGTGCTCATCATAATATAAGTCAACAATACTGAATATTTGAATATTTATCAATAAAATCACCATGAAAACTAATTCTTAATCAGATCACAAAACAATTGCAAATATGGTGTGAAGTTTGAATGTGATCTCTATCCAGGCAAAAAAAAAAATTTAAAAAAAAAAATGTTATGCCCATTTGAGCATGTGCATATCAATAGAAGATGAATAAAGAGATCATGATGGTTTTTACTCTTTAAGGAGAAACTCAGATAACAAAAAGTCTGTATTTAATCACCCGTAATGATTTAATTGAATAGTTTAAATCCCTGACTTACATCCGAATCTGAACCTCCATTCAATTCTGCGTAATCTCTCCCTCTTGAATTTCTTCTTGCAACAGAAGGCTGCAGCGAAAAAAAAAAAAAATAATAAATTTGCAAGAAATGATAATATAATGATAAGATTTGAACATTTCTATTCTTTCATTTGAAAATGCACTCCAATATAATTTTCAATGCGGGTACCTAAGATGGTAGACTTGCTCAGTCGGGGCAATTAATTTGTTTTTGTAGATTAGATAAAATAGCGCGAAATCACCCTGACTGGTTTATTCTGCAGGAAATTCATTGCTATTAAATATTCATGAATGCACATATTATAATGAGGTGGGCGTGGAAATTTGTGTATAATGAGGTCAGCATGGTGAAGGTCACACTGCAGACCCAACATGGCGGCAAGTTGAAATTCAAGACGTTGTGATTGGCTTAGATGATTGCCAATTAGAACACCATTAACATAACTACCCGTTAAAAAAATCGACTGGTTCCTGCAGTGTCAATAGAGGGCTATGCAGAATAAACCAGTCAGGGTGATTTCGCAGTTACAGGGGATTTCGCGGTAACATCTCCATTTCGCGAATTTGTTTATTTTATTTAAACTAAATAAACAAGTTAATCGCCTCAACTGCGCCAGTCTACTAAAATGGTTGCACACATGAAAATCCAAATGCACCAAAATAGACACACTTATATCAGGCTTTATCAGTCAAGCTAAGCATTCATTCAAACAATAAGGCAGAGGTGTGAATGGCTATATCTATATACATATTTTCTGTGTTTACACGAAAAACAGTTTATTTTTTTGTCCAAATTTTTTTAAAGGCTGCACACTCCGAAATTCATGTAAAACATGTATGAATAAATCTTCTAAAATCGGCCAAATCAACAGCACATAAATTTTTCATTTAATACTACAGTATCCGACCATATCTAGCGGCACTTCCATCCATCGTCACGCCATGCTAGTAAGAATTTGTATATGTTCTCTTAAATCCACTACCGAGGGCTTGATCTCGGTTCGTGCCAAGCGTTCAGGCAGCAAATCTTGACTCGTGCAGAGTTTCGGTGCTGAGCATCTATCAGGACCGAGATCAATTTTATTTCAACACGTGCCGAATTAGTTCCGACCGTTCACATACACGCATGTGCCGGCACGGTCTTGAGTCGCGGCACGTTCAGAAATCTCTAACTTGAACCCCACTAGTAAATGGGAACTTTTTCATATATAACAAAAAGGTATTTAATTTCTTTATTCAAACAAATCTGGGTGTAAACAGTGTCAAGATCAAGATGAAGAAGACACTTTAGAGTTGCATCCTGCCTCCTTTTGATACATTATTCTAATATTGGTCAATATATCCAGTCTCCCTTTAAGATGCATTCACAATATTAATCTTACCTTGCACGCTGGACACATCCAGTCTCCCTTTGGTACATATGATAATGCTGGTCTTAAGCAGTATAGATGAAATGGCTGGTTACACTCGTCACATAGCAACAACTTATCCTCATCTCCTTTCTTTCGACAGATTTTGCATTTCTGGAGGAAAAAAATGTAGAAGAATAATTAAAATAACCAATGTGGAATGGACTAATAATATTGCATAAATAATTGCGTGATCTGCATGTGGATTTATAGTTTTGAGCACTGATATGAAGTTACTTACAGGCAGAGGGGAGGATAAAAAACCTTGCTCAAGAAACACATTTAAAACCAACTTACAGCATTCTCCGCCGACTTTTCCCATTTTATGGATGCATCTAATATTCCTAGCAATACATGTAATCTGGACATAGTGGGACATTCTCTGACCGCTTCCTGCCACCGTAAAACATTCTTCGATATCAAAGACTCTGAAAGGTAACGATGTAGTTATAAGTTTGTATTTAAAAGTTTCAAAGTTTGTAAAAGTAAACTGTCCATTACGCGTGTAAAAAAACAAAAACAATGGATGAACTTTGTAAATAGACAATTGTATCAAAATTTAATTACAAGTAAATACTGATAATGGGAAGATACAGTCTGAAATGATTTGGACAGTTAGCAGATCCAGTATAACGGTGAGAGGGATGTCTGAGGCACATGCACCCAAACATTGAGCCAAGCAACAATCCTTATTTTGGGGGAATGTGATTAAATTTATTGATAACTTAATTTAATACAGCTCCTGACAAAATGCTGCTTTCAAAGTATGATATGCAGACTCCAACATGCTCCACAAGAGTAATTTTTCATTCTGTTAGAAATCCACAGGGTACAGATTTTTCTTGCATGTGTAAGCATGATATTATTTTCACAGTTTATAAAAAAGCAATATTTGAAATGTCTGTTTCACTGCTGAAATTTGCGACAGAAGTGTTTATTCAGTTTCACAATATTTGAAAGATATATCGCATTATATTCCCATGAGCTTTGGGAGTGATCGCAGATATTGGATATTGTTTTTGTAAGCACAAGGGAAACCTTACCAGGATCACCATCACCAGCAGTGCTGGCCTCCTCATCTGTGTCTTTAACAGCCTCGTACTCCTTTGGTTTTGTAGATCGTGGTTTCATGATTCCTTGCAGAAATTTGAGTAAGACTTCAGATTGAGTCTCTATAAGCAAAGCCCCCTGTGAAACAATAAGAACTCATTCAGTAGTGTAACTAAAATACCAACCCCGCTGCATCTGAAGTTTTCCAATAAACGAGTTTTGAGTTATGCCATTAACATAGATAATTAGCTGCTATGAAACCTGACATGTAGGCGTGAGAGGCACCCTCGCAGCCAAAGGACATCAGACCGCACTAACTTGACAGAATAGTGTATGTCTCGCCGGCAAGATCAATACTGCAAATTTGCAAAGTCCACGCCTTCTTGAAATGAGTTACACTGAATATTCATTATTATTCAGTCGTGTTTGAATTGTCGGCAAAAATCACAGACTGTTTTCAACAAGATGATAAACATTGGGCGGAAATTTGTCAGCATCTTATCACACATTATGTCAACAAACAAATAAACTCTGCTGTGAATGGTTACTCTTTGATGGCTGTCACTATCTGACATTCCTGCAATTTGATTGGCACAGACAAAAAAATCGTCAGAGGAAGTGAAAAAACTACACCATTCTGACAGTGTTGGGTTTGGAGCATCACTGAGTTCAAAACTTGTGCGATCTTGTCAGGCTAGATGCTATGCTGTAAAAAATTGTTAAAGTATTATCTGTTGATTTTGCTGCGTAAAAGTTTGATAGCTAATCAGAATATCAGGAAGCAAAGAAACCAGCAATTGAATTGCTGGAAACTGACCGACGGCACTATAATTTGAAAATTATTTGATATTACAAACCAAAGTCCTTCTCACGTCCATACATGAAATAATGAACAGATGCGAACATAGGTAACATCATTCAATACTCTCACTACATCATTATGTTATGTGATCAGGTAGTTTGGGTATTAACTGACATTGGACTAAACGAGAAAACTATCACAGGTAAATGCTGAGGATGGAAATGGCTAAATACACTTTCGATTTCAACATTTTCAGGAATTTTGACAAATCATACCTGTGACTGGTAATTTGAAAGACTGATTAAAAAACTTGAATTAGTTGATAATAAACCTCAGTTGTTTGTATTTTTAAATAATTTCAATTTAAGATGGCTGTCAGCTTATTGCCATGAGGGTGGGGGCATTCGTCATTATTTCCATAGAAACAAATTTGAGTACAACTCTTTTTAAATGTGACAAAAACCCTTTTTGCTCAGCAATGTATTTATTTACAAGTCACAGAAAATTTCTTGCAACCCTTGTCATGACAGACTGAAATAGTAAGAGAAATGTGCTGAAAGAACACACCAGGAAATGTTTTGCAGTCGGCACTCATTCAAAAATATGACCAATTCTCGAAAACAAAAAAATACGGTGATACATTGACTGTCATTACACCAAATCATGACAATAGGTTAAGCATACAAAACAACATGATTGGACTTACTAAATCTTTTATTTTTACAGCAGTTTCCAGTTTCTTCTCCCAAATTTCATATTGATCAACACCGCCAAGTCCACCTTTTCTGACCCTGGTTTCAGTTTCAAGTAGGTCTTCTTTGAAGCTTTCAAGGAGCTCCTGGTCGCCATTGATGTCCCTCAAATCAGGAGATGACCTAAGCAATGCACACAAACACAGTATTACAAAAAATACCAGTAGACCAGATGACAACATGACCTGTGTCTTGTGGCAACATGACTTGTGACTTGTGGCAATGAACACAATACTATATCACATAGTACACTTAAGAAATTATCTTTTTCCTTCTGAAATATTATATAAAATATTTTAAAAATTAGAATATAGAGAAAAAAAATAGTTGTGCCTAGATGATACTTTTTCAAGCTAGATGTTTAGTGTACCCACTGTGTAACTTTGGGGTGTAGAAAAAAAATACGCATCCAATTAATCATTTTGACACTGCAATACGATTCTCTTTGCACAAAGGGGCAACAATATTAATTATTAGGTGATTTTATAACATGTTCTGCATTGCATGAATGTCAAAATGCCCATCTTTAAAAAGGGAAATATTGGTTGTGATACTTTTACCTCATCAAAATTCATTATCATGTGTATAGCACACGGAAGTACTCTAAAACTCTTTCACGTTTTGTTGAATTCCATGCAATGTTTTGAAGTCACTACAATGCAATTTCATGCATAAAGCAGAATCTCGCAATGATTTATTCTACCTTTTACTCATATTCATGGTCTTGATGATGTCTTGATATTTTTTTTTTATCTCAACACAGAGGGCACTTTCTCGGATTCCATTGTTGTCTAGCAACCGTATAAGCTCATCAAGTTCTTTCTGACTGTCGTACTGGAACCATAGATTTTGACCAGTCTTGGGAACACTGTCGAAAAAACATATGCACAGGTCCAAAACAGTGAAGAACAAAAGATGACATTGAACAAAAAAAAAAAAAAAAATTTCATCGCAACATGATCACGTATATTCGGTCTTGACCCCCCACTCTGTCTATTGTGGTAATTTCAAGACTGTACACAACTTTTATCATACTAAACTGGTCACCAAATCTTACAACTGTCTGGCCTTTACACTCAAGTCTGAATGAGCATAGTCCATGCGCCAAGAATGAAACATTTTTGGCCTTGATAACGTTCACAGTACTTCGTTTAGACAATTAATACCACTGAGTTGGCAATTCATTAAATACTCACGTTTTTCCAGCAGATATTTTCTTTTCTTCCATATTCGTCATAATGCTCGCCGTTTCTTTATCACTATCACTGTCGTTCTCGTCGTCATTACTGCTTTCATTGTCGTCATTCTTCGCATCGGTTTTCTGTACACAGTAATCTATACTTGTATGGACCCATCCTTTCTCAACAAAAAGACCAGGAAATACGTGGTGGAAAACCCAGTAGCGGTTGTGGTTACGATCTGTACCAATAGGTGATTGTCGAAGTGACAACTTGGCAGATAAAATACCCTCCTGAAAAAAAAAATAAGAATCGCTAGGAAATGACTCTACAGGTTTGAGCACACACATAGTGGTGGAAATACACGATAAGGCCCCCCAAAAAAATTGTTTTGTTGCCCTCAGCGACAGACTGAAAAATATGAAATATCGGGTCACGTTTTTTAATAGGTCCAAATATTAAAAACTATTTTAAGCAGTAAAAAACGTGTTACCGATAAAAATTAACAATCCCGGACAGTTGTTTGGTCCCCAGAGTCCCGGTAATCGGCGACTTTGAATGAACGTCGGGTTGATCTGTATTTCTCTGACATGTTCCGAATACTATGAAGTCCATATACCTTGGCTATTTACGATACTCTTAGTTTTCATGAATTTAAAAAAAAAAAAAAAATCCAATCGACTGACCCAATTTTTTAATTTTTCGACTTTTTGAGGGCAACATAAGTTTTTTTTTTTTGCCCTGAGGTCTATGGATCCTAAAGTTGTTGTCAATCCTAAATAGGTTTGCTAATACTGTCATGAAAGATAGATAAAGCACAGATTTGTATTCACCTCAAAAGCCTTGATATGCTGCTGTTCTGCTTTCAGTTTCTTCTGCTCTTCATATTCTTTTTGTCGCCTGCAGAACAAAGGCAATATTTTTATCAGGTTGTTCAAAAATCCATACCTTCTTAATAGTCAAATCAAGAATAGATATCAAAATTATCAATGTTTATTTACATGAATTTCAGAATAAAAATGCAAAATATAGAGGAACAAGACATAGTCACTGTATTACAGTAGCAAGATTGGTCTGAGGCATGACACTGCATTTTTTGAAACAAAATGGTTACCAGTCTGCCATTTTAAATTCGAAAAATAAAATTTTATGCATAAGATTCTATTAGGTTCAACCACAGTTCCTCTATCCCCGGTCTGGAAACGATTAGGATTCTTTTGTCTCGAACCGCGGTGCAGGTAAACAAACCGTTCACACCCGGGCCGAGGGAGTCAGGAAGTCAGACAGATTACAATACCGTCAAAATATTCATTAAAATCGGAAAATTTACCGTCATGCAAAGCGATACCCATTTGTATGACTTCACTTTGACTTCAAATTCGGGCAACCACAACGTAAACAAACATGTAAACAAAAATAGCACTATGAAATTTGGGGTTTTTTAACAGTGATGCGCATCAAAACCAGCCTACCAACTCATAAACATCCAGTTCCTACAATGTAAAGATTAATATCGGGAATTATGTCCATTTTCTAGTTTTAATAGGGAAAAAACTTCGCGTGCCAGCATGCTGACATACAAATCTTATTAAAATGGCGTCGTTCATGATCGAGCGAAAAGTCTGTGCTATTTCTGATTCTTGGGGGTTCATAACAGTTCAAGTCAACTATATAACTACTAATGACTTTATTCTATACAAAAGTATATAACAATGCTTCAATGTTTGTATATAAATGATTTTTTTAGCACAGAAATGAGTACATTGTAATTTCAAAACTTCGCCATTTGCATTTACGATCTAAAAAGCACCCATAAAAGTCGCTCAATTTAACATTAATAAAATGCGGTGTGACAAATAACAAATCAGCCCACCAATTTTTAATGATATGTTTCGAACATAAAATGTCAAAATCGAAGACAAATATTGGTTTCGCACCGAGAAGTATGGTAAATAAAATAGAGTTCATTTCAATCACCCCAAAATCAAAAACCACAAATATCTGAGTAAAGGTATAAAAATTTTTTGCGAAAATGTCGCTGCTGGTAAAATAGATGAATTAGAGAATTACTCGCCGACTAAAATATGACCTTATACAGATATCCTGATTGAAAAATTATGTGAAAAAGCTTGAATTATGGAATAAACAACTAAGTTGTAAAAAAAGTACATAACACTGACGATGTCAAAAATAGTGGCCGGCTGCGTACTGATCATGTGACAATGCTTTGCCCATACCCGCAATACGCCTTTGCCAGGGAAGGAGGCCAATTCACACCTAATACAATGACCGTTTCCAGACCGGGGATAGAGGGACTGTGGTTCAACATATGTACCAAGTTGAACAGAATACGTCCATACACTAGTGAGATTGATTTTGGAAATGGTAAACATGTATTATTTTGGGACACGATTGGTTTTAAAATGGCTGCGAATCATCCATTTTGAATCTGATCCTGATGCATATGTCTGACATGTCCCATGTATATGTGAGAAGTCTAAACTTATATAAAATATGCAATAAGCTCGACGGGCACACTCATTGTACCTTTCTTTTTGTATGATTTCTTGTTCTGCTCTCAGTCGCTTCTCCCGGGCAGCCATAATTCTCCTCCGTTTAACAATGGATGCCAAATCGTTATTACTTTCAGGCGGGAGTTCTTCCTCATTTTCTTCTTTTTTCAGCGCTGGTGGAAGTGGTTCTTTTTTGGTCACCTTAATCTCATCTTTGATTTCATCTGGAAAATAAAAGATTGATGGAAGTGGAAGACAAGACAACACTGCTTTTATAAGCCGTTTAAACTAAAGCCGGTCAGGTTGTAACTATAGACATGTTTATATAAAACAGCTTTGTAAACCCATCTTAGTCTGAAGTTACAAGTATTGTGAGAAATATATAATAAATATTCCAAGTTTCATTCTATTCAGCACATCCTAACGCTGTTGATTGTTACATTTCCCATTCTCATTGGGTGAATTTCCTTTACTAGTGTTATTGTTTTATCAAGTTGGCAACAGAATCTTGCCGGTAATCACTATTTTTTCATACAATACATGCAAATTTAAACCATCAAATATTATACATACTGCTACTTATCTTGAGACTCAAATCTATGAATGCTCTCAGAGTGGCACTTACAGATTACAGATTTTCCCAAGGTTCTCACTAATAAAACCATGCTTACCACTTTCCTGCTTTGTTTCGTTAGTCTCATCCGTTTTAGAAATCTCCTTTTCATTTTTTGTTGGTTTGTCAGCTCCTTGTTTTTTTTGTTTCTTTTCTTCCAATCTTCTCACTTTCTCTTTTTTTTGTGACTGTATTCTTTGTTTCCTGTGCAATTGAGAAACAATATTAAAGAACAGTCATTAAAGAACACAATGCTTCTATGTTATTATCACGGAAAGACACAAAATTTAAGTATGATTTGTACAATTATTGTGAAATGCAATTGGATTATTAATAACTCCCAAAAATAGAAAATTGAAAATATCTTAAAATGAACAAATCTGACAGAGGGACACACGGGGGTACCTACCTACACACCAAGTATCAAAGCAATTAAAAGGTGGTAGTCTTCAAGAAGAAGTTGAAAATGTAATTCTTGATGGACAGACGATGGATGATGACTGAATCTGTATAAACAGCTCTGTTTTTACAATTTTGATGACAGTAGAAATAAAATATTTGAAGTGTTAAAAATTGTTAATAGCAGTGACTCACCATAATTTGCTGGCAATTTTTTGTTTTTCTTGCATGTGATCTTGTATCGAGAATGATGACATTATTCTGTGACACAGACCAACTAAGATCTGCAGAATATCACTAGCTTCGAGTTCATGCAACTCGCTGCTCTCCAGTTTTTCAATCAACTCCAGTTCCTGTAATAATGTAGAACATGGCATCATTTGCATCAATCTGTCAAATTTTTCCCACTAAAATTGTGTTGTGCAGCATTTCACATAATTTTCCATTGGCTACTGCTTTTGATCAAAATTATGAAAAGCGTGGACAAAACTATGTACCGAGTAGATTTTGTGTGTGAAAGAATTGAGCCTTTAAAAAAAAAGACCATATCCTGTTTTCTTCATGTTTTTTATTTTCCTGCTGTTTCCCACACGAAAAGCAACTTAATGAGATTTTAACATCACACGCTTCTTTTGTAGTGTAAATGTTGAATAAATTTTATTGATTAATATTAATTTAAAAAAAAATATAGTACAAATGTCATTGGGTTGAGCCAAAATAGTTTCATTACAGTTTTATAATTTGAATTTGAATTTTACAAATAGTTACACACTCTTGATTCCATTAACGAATATAGCATCGGAATTTGCATAACTTTGTACATATAATACCGTTAACACCAAAAGTTGTGTGAGCGACTCACCACATCATCATCTTTAATATCATCCACATCACTGTCACCGTCATGACTGCTGTCATATTCATCATCATGCGGCCGCAGACATAATCTAACTAGTTCTGAGGCAGTATGCATGTTGACAGGAATGTCTGAGAGTACAACACTCAATTCTTTATAATCCTGAAAAAAGAAATCAGCGATTACTGTGCATACGATTTACAAGAAGGGTATGCAACAGGTGTGAAATGCATCAATGATGACATAAATTATTGGTTTGAGAAATATCAAGTGAAATTAATAAATAAAAAGTTACAGGAAAAGTCAAGTCTAACAACTTAATACTCTCAGATGAAAGAGCTCGGCAAATGTAAGAACATGCTCATATCACTTTTCACTCTCTAGATATTTAACTTTTCATTAATTTATACCGTCCACCATCTTGATTCTTCAGCAAAGGATTATGGGTAAAGTATGACATCATAACCACTGTCAGAAATTGAGAACGCGAGAAATACTGATGCAAATTGTTTCAAATTTTCAGTGTGCATATTACTCATGACTTCCCTTTTAAGTTAGTCTATCAGCAATGTCAAGTTCATTAGTTACAAAATAAAAGTCCTTACCTCCGCTATTGCATCTTGAAGCAGAGTTTGCAATAGAATGACAATCACCCTGGATATGTAACCAAATCCTTGTGCCCCTGAAGCCAAGGCCTGTACAAGACATTCTGTAAATGTATTCAAATAATAGAATTAGAATTCATCCTTTAATGCAATCCGCAACTCCTCAACAAAATTATGAACTTTTATAACAATTAAATAGTGTTCTACATGTGGCTTATTTGCATATTCAATTTACTTAATTAAAATAACAATAAGTTACACTTTGTCTTGATTTTTTAGGCAGCCACTTCACATTTTAGATTGGTACAAAATTTCATTTGACAGGTAAAATTTCTACTTTTGTAAATATTCACCACAAAATGAACCCAAAATTACGTGGCTTTTATTCTGATTACTAGTATTTTTAATTTCTGGCTATAACCCTTGCGGGCGAGAGTGATACAACTACCAGTCTTAACCAGTTTTAATTTGTCTGCACTTTTTTTCTAATATTCTTCAATATTTCTGGAAATGAACACATATTTTGGGTCCAACAGTAAAAATTGTAGTAAATTTTCAGTTTTATTCAAAAAATTTGGCTGTTTTGTCCCAATCTTCTGAAGATAAGTGTAGACTATACAGGACTATTTTGTGAATTTGTGATGAAAAGAGGGAACTGGTGGTGAAAAGGTTAAATCAAAGAAAGCTTAGAAAAAACTCCTGTGTGCTTAAGGTATTTGGGGCATGACGTTAGCACATGTGCTTCTATTATAGCAAATACAGCATTGTTCGCACACAGGAGTCAAAAACCAGGGGGAAAATACTGATGATATATAGCCTAGTCTTTGCATCATAGTTAAATCACATCTTTCAAAGCACATTTCAGATACAAATCAAGAGGATAGCCACCAGTGGAACATCTTTGATGGAAATGTGAAACAAAAATCTAGTTTTTGTGGAAATTTGAAAATGATCGGTCAATGAATAAAAAAAAAATATGATATTTATGACCTACCAGCATTGACTGGGTAAGGATCATCCGGCATTAACAATTCAGAATACGAACTAATGAATTCCACTACCATGGTTACGTCTCCAAATAATGTATTTGGTAATCCTTCTGGTAACTGTACAAGTTTAGGCACTGGAAGAGGAGGGTTGTCTAACTCCTGATCCTCGTAACGCTAAAATAAATCAAAACAAGAATAATAGATGAGTTCCATAGTTACCTTTGAAACTTGCACACTTTGGAGTAAAAACATTCAGATTTCGTCTGAGTGGGGGTTCGGGGTTGGTGTTGATTTCACCACATGAATATTTAGCAGCTCGTTTGGAACCAGAAAAACCAGCCAGTAAATTGAATAAGCCAGAAATCAACCCCCTCCCTAATTCTGACATGGAAACTGACTGAAGGCGCTATTGGTTGAAAGATAATGAGAATTAGAAAATATTACAATAAAAAAGAGGTCTTTGAAACATACAAAATTAAAAATATAATACATACCATGGCTTTCGCTTTTTTCAAATTTCTTTCTTGTTGCCTTACTTCCTTGACTTTTTGTTTTCTTTCTTCTCGTTTTTGCTGCAAGGCTTTCGTCCTCTCTTCTGGTGTCATAGATTTCCTACCAAAGTATCAAATATGGAATGCAAATTCAAGTATGCATATTTTTGAAAATGAAGTACCGTGAAAACTCAATCAATTCGGCCATGTAAAAATAAATATTTTTGGGGGTGGGCCAATTGATTGAATAAATATAGAAAATATGTTTCCGAAGTGGTCGATTTGTTTGAATAATTTTTCAACGTTTTAAAACTGGGTTTGAAGTGTGTATCACCGGTAACTGAATAAATATATCGTTTTCCAGAGATTAGAGTAAAGGTGTAGTACTAGTCTGAGACTTGACCCAATTTTAAAACAAACTACGAGCGCGTTCAAGAAATCTGACGCAACCAGGCCACCTGCTGTTTTGTTGCCGTGAAGACGACAGTTTCATGTCACGCTCCCCGTAAATGTAAACAAACATGGTAACGTGAAAAACTGAATAAATATATCTTTTGCGGGATTGGAGTAAAGGTGTACCGGTAGTACTAGTCTGAGACTTGACCCAATTTTAAAACAAACTACAAGCGCGTTCAAGAAATCTGACGCAACCAGGCCACCTGCTGTTTTGTTGCCGTGGAGACGACAGTTTTATGTCACGCTCCCCGTAAATGTAAACAAACATGGTAACGTGAAAAACTGAATAGATATATCGTTTTCTGGGATTAGAGTAAAGGTGTACCGGTAGTACTAGTCTGAGACTTGACCCAATTTTAAAACAAACTACAAGTGCGTTCAAGAAATCTGACGCAACCAGGCCACCTGCTGTTTTGTTGCCGTGGAGACGACAGTTTTATGTTACGCTCCCGTAAATGTAAACAAACATGGTAACGTGAAAAACTCACTGGAATAGAGTAGAATAGAATTATGCTTTATTGCTAATTGCTGTACTATTTTTTTGAAATTATCTACAATTAAACTATACATACAATACAATAATATATTTTAAATAAACTACAATAAATAACACTGAAAAACATAATACGAGACGACACACTGATATTTTGTTACGGTATCTCTTTTTGGAGGATGTGGTGGCGGGGCGGGGTTGGTGGTGTTGTCTGGTACATAGAAGCAGGTACAGCTGGGACCTCGGCAGTTGCCTAAGTAAAAAATGAATCGATTCGAGACATGGCTAGCGAGCGACAAAATAA